GCAGAAAAAAGATGAAAAGAAATATCTTTAATCATCAGATAAGGAGGAATAGAGAAAATTAAATATATACTATATCTTAAGAAAATTAGAAATTTATAGTTCCATTATCGAAAAAAAAAAATGAAATTTGTAGTTACATGTTGTATGTTGTAGAGTGCAAAAGATATACAATTACTTGTATCTTTATGTGTGGCTCATCTGCTTAGAAACACCTTTGCAAAGCTTGGGGATAAAGAGGACACAAGGTAAAACTGCATTGTATTTTTATAGGAAGGGTAAAATAATTAGAAAATCTAATACTATTAATTAGAAACTCTAATACTATTAAAGATAGACTTAAATGAAAAAAAAAAAAAAACAATAGTAGGATAAATGATTAAAAACAAAAAACAAAACCATAGAGAAATAAGTGATTCAAAGGGATATTTGAACTTTTATCTAAATTATTTTATCTTTCTTCCTTCAAAACCATCTTTTCTTAAAAACCATTAAAAACAACTTTATATACTCTTAAAGAGATTTTTTTTAAGTTCTTCTTTTTTTTTACTTTATCTTAAAAATAACTTTTAGTTTGTATTCCTATTATTAGGGTTCTGAACCAACTTGTGTCATATTGATGAAATTTCCAAATTTCTTTAAATCAACTTAAGATTTATAGTTTAACATATTAAAATCTTAGAAATTTTGGTAAAGAGATGCAGCACCAATTTTAAAATTGGTAAACGTGGTTTAGTGTCGAACCGGACAATAGAACCCATTTTTTGGAATTGTTCTTCAATGGAAGGACTTGTGAATCCTTGTTAATAATTTAGGACCCTAAGAAGATCAGTGTGGACCTTTGTAAAATGTCTAATTCATAAATTAAGTAACCAATGCTTGTGGTTTTGGAAAAAAGCCTCAAGTGTTATAAATGGCAAAAGATAAGATTGAAATGAATGTGGTAGACTAGTATATTTGCTAATTGCCTTTATATCTTTGAAATAGGTTATGATTTTGTCAGTGCCTATGGTTGTGGTCCTTTGGATACTGAAAATACATTGGAGTATGTTGCTGATACATGTAATCTTTCAGTTCTCAGGGTTAATCCCTTATTTGTTCCATCAAACTCCATGGAAGGTTGGTTTATGTGCAAGATATGCTTTTGGAAAATGATATATGCACTATATATATATATATATATATATATATATATATATATATGGGCATTCAAAGGTTAATCAATTAATATAAAGAAATAAATAAATAAACCGACGTAGTTTTGGGATTGCCTGAGATAAACTTATCTCAAGCTGCTTGAGAAATATTTTTTCATATATATATATATATATATATATATATATAGACACACACACACATATATGATATCTTTGGAAATGATTTGTGGCATAATATGTTGATATATATGCGGATATGATAGTGTGTCCTACATGTGCAGGTAGCGTCCCTAGGCTCATATGTTTTTAGTATATTGCAGACGTGTGTGATGCATACTTGTCTCTAACCAGTAGATATTGATATTGCATATATTACATGCTATATATTTAGCATTATGCATTTTATTATTTTGTTGCACTTATTATACCTGTAAGTGAACTTGAGAATGAGTAATCCTTCGAGAATCCCAGTTTACTGAGTTGACATCTCACCCCTTTGGGGAACATTTTTCAGGTGCTGAGACTTATGAGATGGGTGCATCTCGAGGCAAGAGGCCGGTGTAGATATCATTGCATGATATATATGTTACTGACATTTGAGGCATGATATGTTATGTTTATATTTCATGTGAGTATAAGGGTTGCCTAGGCCATATTGTAATAAGCTTTGTGTATTGTTGTTGGGAAATATCTATTAATCATGTTGGTCATTATTTTGTAATATGATTTGTATGTGAGATGGCCTAAGTAAAGGATTGCTAGGTGTCACGATTTATGCATGTAGAAGTCATTTTAATCCGTTCAGATATGATAACTTATGTGCCAAGAAAGGTATGAAATGGCTTAATTAAACAATATACATGGTCGACACCTGTTGTATGTCTTAGATGAGGATAACTAAGTCCACGATGGAGTGATATGGGGCAAGGGGTTGAATTCTAAACCCTCATCCCGAAAAGAGATATTCCTTTTCGTCACTGTCATGGAATATCGGGATATTAGTAATTCAATATTCGGATATCAGGTATCTGAATATGATATTCGGATATGTCCCTGACATATATCTGAATATTCTTGGAGAATAAAAGCAAAAGCGAACGTTTAAAAAGAAATGTTTGTAAACCTTGTGGAATTTAAATATGGAAGGCTTAAATCCATCTCTACGGACTGTGGTACCTTAGTAAGTGTTAAAGTAAATGAGGGTAGCTAATATAAATAATCTAAATGTGATTGGATGTTCTAGGGTGTGTAATTGTTGAGACAATACGTTGGAGAACGTTCTCTCATAGTCATAGTTCAAGTAGTGTTAATTAAGCAAGAATGTAATTAGTAAATGAGATAACTAGGGAATAAGTAATGTAAAATGCTATTAACTTGACATACAAGCAATGTTATTAAAATCGGTCCGGTCATTGACCCGGTCGAGGTACTGGGTCACTGGTTCAAGCGCATGACCCGGTAATTATATGCAATTTTATAATTTATATTAAAAATTATAAACATACTCAAATATCTATAAAAAATTATAAAAATTTCAAATATTTTAATATAAAAAATAATAAATCATATATTATTATCCAATAAAAGATCAAACAAAAATATAATGATCGTGATACGGTGCTTTAGGTTCAGAAAATGACATCTTTAATTATAAATTAATTCAAAATTTTCTGCATAATACATAATTGAGAAATATTAGTGTTGTAGGTACATAACTTATGTAAGTCAATAAGCAAAAAAATATTCAAATATGTCCATTATGATTTTTATTTTTATTTTAAAAATTTGGATTTTTTTTGGGGACCGGGCCGGGTCACCAGTTTTTTATGAAAACTGGCCGGGCCGCACCGGTTCTGATGCATGGCCGGTCCGTTGCTTCAACCGGACCGATTATATGACCGATTTACCGGTTCCCGGGTCGACCTGATTTTAATAACACTGCATACAAGGAATAATTACAAATGATTGTAGAATTGAAAAAAGTTTATCCGCATTTCAATTTAATAATTCTAACGTTATTTCTGTTGCAAAAAATTAATATTAAGTTGCACTTAATACCATTCTGGTGATAATACACATGATGAATACGGGGTGTTACACACACTAAGATAGTGTCAATGACACCAGGCCACATAAAATACCCAACAATAGATACAATGGAAGCTCTGAAAATAAGTTGAATAATCTCTTCAGGATTTGATATATTTTACTGATATTTGACAGTGCAGAAAGGAGTAAAGCAATAAGTAACAAACAATAGATGTATGAAATTATATATATCATCTGAAAGAACAAACTTTCAAATTTTGTTGGCTTACCACTGGGGGAACGAAAGTCATACTCAGGAACTTTAAAAGCTGATTTAGAACCAAGGCCAATCTTGGAAACAAGAGAAGCTACAACAACACTAAGTGTAACCATTGATGTATTGTTTGTAAGTGGTAAAGATGAATCAGTAGCAGGTGATGGCCACAAAATAGATTCTACTGCGAAAAAATAACCAGCAACAACAACATTAAAACATTTGATAAGAAAATATAAATCAATCCCAGCCAATTCATCAATATATCATGAATTTGTTAAAAAGTAACATCAAATTGGTACCGGCAGAGAGTCCAACACGAATCTAGCGGCGAGAAGAGAAAGCATTCTGGTGGAACTCTTGTCAATGAAAGAACCAACACCTTTGGCAATGGAAGTTCCGATCTCGACGCTAAGACCTTCTTGACCCAAGGAATTACTAGTTTCTAAAGTAATAGAAGTTGTCATAGCCTTCAAGAAAGGGCGTGAAGCAGATTTGAATTGATCTCGGTCCACATCAAAATCAAAACGCTCTTCGCAATTACACGCTAGGTCCGCCTATGCTGTAACGTGGACCAGGACCACGATGAACTACTTTATTGCACAGCTGATTTAGCCACCTCAACAAGCTCCCTCACCTTCTTTCTCTTCTCTCCCTTTCTTTTCTTCCATCAACTCCTACGATGCCCTTCTTCCAACTGATTAATTTTTTTTTCAAATTTCACCAACCTTAGCCCTCCTAGGTCCGCCATTGCAGCTAAATTTTTTTTAACTCATGTCAAACATCAATTCCTGAAGAAGAAAAAAACAGCCAGTGTCAGCTATGGATAAAATTGTTATTTCCATAGTTCTCTATTATTTCCATAGTTCTATAAATAGAAAACCAACTATTTTTAAAAACCAGCCAGTGGACACTTTTTGATTCTAAAGTGGCTCATTCATTGCCCCCTCGTTATTAAGGTGTTACAAAATAAGAGTCGCGAAATTGAGTCATGTAATTCGCCTGTACTCCTTTGAAAAAAATAAATTTGTATGATTCTTTTTATATCAAATTTGTGTTATTTAAGTGTGGTGACACTCATCATCCTCATTAAAAAAAAATATTCTCACTCGTGATAATTTTTAATTGACTTGATCCGATAATCATAGTATTATTTTTTTTTTTTTGGTATAATCTGGAGGTATCTCTATTTAACCTCCTCTGGTCACCTTGCTCTCGGGTTACGGCCCTGTAGGCTAGGACCTCATTAGAACAACAAGTGCATTGAGCTTCACTGCCGAAAGAAGGATAAGACTAATTCCCAATTCGAGGAAGAAGACACATCCTCTTGCTCCCAAAAATTTTCCAAGAATTTTCTTGAGGTAGAATTTGAATCCTGACTTAAACTTAAACAAATTCTTGAAAGCTCAGTTGCCAAGTGAGAACGAGAAAAGAATTCTTGAAAAAATAAAATAAAAAATACTCTCGCATTGTACATGTCTTTGGTTTATGAATATTGTTTTAAAAATCTACACTGGCAATATACATATAAGAGAAAAACGCCAACTTTTTTACTGTGTCACAAACAACACTGGATTTACAAAGAATGGGAGAGGCCCTCAAATTCGACGTGATAATCTTAGGAGCATCAGGTTTCACCGGCAAACATGTCCTCAAAGAAGCTCTCAAATTCCTCAACAACAACACTTCAACATCATCATCATCATCTCTCAATTTCAAATCCATAGCCATAGCGGGTCGCAACCCTTCAAAACTCACCCAAACACTCCAATGGGCAACCCGACCCGACCCGACACCAAAAATCCCCCTCCTCGCCGCCAACACTGCCGACCCGGAATCCCTCCGAGCCCTCTGCGCCCAAACCCGCCTCCTCCTCAACTGCGTCGGACCCTACCGCCTCCACGGCGAGGCCGTCGTCGCCGCCTGCGTCGAAACGGGTTGCGACTATCTCGACATAACGGGCGAAGCAGAGTTCATGAACCGGGTCGAGCGAAAGTACCACGAGATTGCACTAAAGAACGGTTCTTTGGTGGTTTCTGCATGTGGGTTTGATTCGGTTCCCGCTGAAATGGGAGTGTTGTTCAATTCGAGGCAGTGGGTGAATCGGGCCGTGCCGAACCGGGTCGAGGCTTATGTGAGCTTGGAATCGGAGAGAAGGATCGTTATTAACTATGGGACCTTTGAGAGTGCGGTTCTTGCTGTGAAAGATGTGATGATGGAGTTGGGATGGTCCAAACCCACAAGAACAAGGCCTGTGGTATGATAAGACTTTTAATAAGATAGGTTCATTTTAATTGAATTGAATTCAATGTGTTTGTTTGTTGTTTGCTGTATTCTTTTTTGGGAAAAGTGTGTATAATTTTGAAGGATGTAAAGTTGTGTCATTTTAAGAGAGAGTAACATGACACTAAAAATGTCCTACAACGTAACATATATAAAACCCATATTCTATTGGATGCATGTTGAAGATTTTGTATCTCAAAGTTGTGGGGTAAGAGACTTTTGATGAAGGGTTTGGGAGGAAAAGGATGGGATTGAGTAATAGATTTGAAAGATTTTATGATAATATTATTTTATTCTTTTCTATTACTTGAAATGGAGCTCGTTATTTTGTGCTCCCGGAGCTTGTGATCCCTTTCCAAATATAAGGGGAAAAAAGGATTGAGAGTGAATTTAGAAGAAATGAAGGGGTATGAAGAGAGAAAATATTTTCTTTTTTAGTAAAGCACCACCAAACAGTATTATGCTCCACATTAAAAAAATCCCTTGAAATGAGAGTACTTAGCCTTGGAGCAGCAATAAGTTTGCTGCTCCTTTTGTGACCTGGAGGACAAAGTTTGAACATGGAAAATAGTCTCTTTATAAAAATAAAATGCAAAGGTAAAGGTAAAACTGCCTATAATCTACCCTCAACCCTATTCTTATGAAGGCGGGAGTCTTGTGCACCGTAATTTTCCTTTTTTATTACTTGAAATGAAAAATTTATCCCCTTTGCTTCTGTTCCAAACATATAGAAGGATAAGTCAAGATGTTTGAAGTGAAATGTTGTTGGGGGATCTGTTTAAATGGATTTTTATCATGGAACCACAGGTACGACACAATACCTCAACCTGCATGGGATGGAACCTATTGAAAAGAAGTTTTTGTATATTGATATTGAATAAATTACATGAGTGAGTATTTATACAAGAAAGAATCGCTAAGAATGACTAAGCGATGACTAATCAATCCTATCACAATCCTAATCACAATCAATTCTAATCAATCACAATTAATCCTAATCAATCATAATCAATCCTAATCAATCATAATCAATCCTAATTAATAGGAAATAAAAACAGAAACATGTTTGAATTCTAATTTTCTACACTCCCCCTCAAGTTGGGAGGTAAATATTGATCATTCCCAACTTGCCAATCAAGTCTTCGAATGCTGGACGGTGTAGGCCCTTGGTAAGGACATCTGCCGTTTGCTCTTTGGTTGGAACATATATCAAATGCACACTTCCATCATCTAATTTTTCTTTGATGAAGTGACGATCAACTTCCACGTGCTTTGTTCGATCATGATGCACAGGATTTTGAGCAATGCTAACAGCTGCCTTGTTGTCACAATATAGTTTTATTGGTAGGGAATATGAAATCTTCAACTCTTGAAGAAGTCTTCTCAACCAGATTCCTTCACAAACTCCATGAGCTAAAGCTCGAAATTCTGCTTCAGCACTACTTCTTGCAACCACTGTTTGCTTTTTGCTTCTCCAAGTAACAAGATTTCCCCACACATAGGTGCAATAGCCTGAGGTAGATCTTCTGTCTACTGATGAGCCTGCCCAATCTGCATCAGTGTAGATTTCAATTGTCCTTTTATACCCCTTTTTAAAGAATAATCCTCTTCCTGGAGTATTCTTGAGGTATCTAAGCACCCTATAGACTGCACTAAGATGCTTCTCCTTGGGTGAGTGCATGAATTGACTAATCATACTCACCGCAAAGGCAATGTCAGGACGCGTATGAGATAAGTAGATTAGTTTACCAACCAATCGCTGATATTGTTCTTTATCCACCTCATTTCCATCTTCAATACCTAACTTGGTATTAGGTTCCACAGGTGTCTCAGCAGGTTTACACCCTAACATTCCTGTTTCCAACAAAAGATCTAGAACATATTTCTTTTGTGTTAGAGTGATACCTGTTTTGCTCCTAGCAACTTCCATACCAAGGAAATATTTGAGAGTGCCAAGGTCTTTGAGTTCAAATTGAGCTGCTAGAAATTTCTTCAAGGTGTTCAATTCCTCAATATCATCACCTGTAAGAATTATATCATCTACATATACAATAAGAATAGCAATTTTACCATCCTTAGAGTGTTTGTGGAAGAGAGTATGATCAGTCTGTGCTTGAATGAAGCCTCTTCTTTTGACTGCTTGTGTGAATTTGTCGAACCATTCTCTGGGAGACTGTTTCAATCCATATAGAGACTTTTTTAGTTTACACACTGATCCATTTCCCTTTTCAAAACCAGGTGGAGGATCCATATAGACTTCTTCATGTAAGTCACCATTTAGGAATGCATTCTTCACATCTAACTGTTGCAGAGGCCAATCTAGATTGGCAGCAAGAGATAAGAGAACTCGGATGGTATTGACTTTAGCAACCGGAGCAAAAGTCTCATGATAATCTATCCCATGAGTCTGAGTGAAACCCTTTGCAACCAATCTTGCCTTGTATCTGTTGATGCTATTATCTGCATTGAATTTTATTGTAAACACCCATTTGCATCCTACTGCCTTTTTTCCTTTGGGTAGGGTCACTATCTCCCAAGTTCCATTTCTTTCTAAAGCATTCATTTCTTCAAAGACAACATCCCTCCATTTTTTATCATTGAGAGCCTCATGTATATTTCTCGGTATCTTTGTACTATCCAACATAGTATTGAAAGCACGAAACCCTGGGGACAACTTTCCATATGAAATATGATTAGAAATAGGATGAGTAGTACAAGATCGAGTACCTTTTCTGAGAGCAATGGGCAAGTGTAGATCATTTTCACCATGACACTCAAGTATTGGGGTGCTGGAACTAGAACATGGTTCAGAATCCTGGCAGTGTAGAGGCTCTGGGTTATTCACACTTTGAGGAGGCTTTCGCCTGCTATAGACTTGTCCCCATTTTGAGGAGGCTCCTGATGGTGAGGATTCTGTAGCTCCCCCTGTTTCTAAAAGTAGAGGTAATACTGTGGCATTAATAGGTTCCCATGACTGATCTTCATCTACTCCTATAGACTCCCCCTGAAGAGAAGTCGAGGGGAAGAAAGGGTCATTCTCAGAAAAAGTGACATCCATAGAGACAAAGACCTTACGAAGAGAGGGTGAATAACACTTATAGCCACGTTGAGTAGGAGAATAACCAATAAAGACACACTGGAGAGACTTAGGATCAAGCTTAGACCGTTGATGGGAGGGAATATGGACAAATACAACACAACCAAATAACTTGAGAGGTAAGGAGGAGACACCTCGGAAGGAAGGGAAGATACGAACAAGACTAGAAAGAGGAGACTGAAATTTCAGAATGCGAGATGGCATTCGATTTATCAGATACGAGGCAGTGAGAACTGCCTCTCCCCAAAGATATTTAGGAACACTCGTGGTAAACATAAGAGCCCGAGTAACTTCAAGGAGATGTCGGTTTTTTCTTTCCGCAACTCCGTTTTGTTGGGGTGTGTCAGGACACGAGCTTTGGTGAAGGATGCCATGTTGGGAAAGATATTCTCCAAGAATAGAGTTAAAATACTCTTTGCCATTATCTGTACGAAGAATTTGTATAGCAACTTGGAATTGGGTTTGAACCATGGCATGAAATTTTTTAAACACGGATGCAGCATCGGACTTATCCTTTAGAAGATACACCCAACAAACTCGAGAATGGTCATCAATGAAGGTAATGAACCATCGAGTACCTGAAATATTTTTAACACGGGCTGGACCCCATATGTCGCTATGAATTAAGGAAAATGGGGAAGAGTCATGGTGAACTTTAGAAGGATAATGAGCACGAGTATGCTTGGCAAGTTGACAAATATCACAAGAAAACAAACTTGGACTTTTATTAATAAATAAGTTTGGCAACAACTTCTGAAGATAAATAAAATTTGGATGGCCTAGCCTACGACGCCACAGCATAACATCATTACATGAATCAAAAGGAAACATAGAGTTTTTTTCTACGAAAACAGCTTCATGAGTCACATCCTCCTCAAAGTAGTAAAATCCACCATCCTCTCTAGCACTGCCAATCATCCTCTCCGAGTCCTGTTCCTGAAAAACACAACCATGTGGAAAGAATTTAGCAAAGCAATGCAACTCAGAGGTGAGCTTGCTAATGGAAATGAGATTACAAGTCAGAGAAGGAACATAAAGAACTGATGTCAAAGTAATCAGCTCAGAAAGTTTAATGGTGCCGTGTCCCGCAATCTGGGAAAAACTGCCATCGGCGATCTTGACCCGAGAAGGTTCAGAATATGGAGTGTATGAACAAAACAAGCCAAGATTACCTGTCATATGATGAGAGGCTCCAGAATCAAGGATCCAATGATTTTGACTATCAACATGGAAAGTTGTACCTTGCTGGACCACATGACTAGTGGCCTTAGGAGGTTGCTCGTGGTAATAAAAAGAGTGTTTTGAGGAAGCCATGAATAAAAAGAGAAGGGTTGACCGTTGATGAAAAATCAAGTTTTGTAAACTTTTGATCTGACCTCTGGAACAGGAAGGGGAGAAGCCGGCGAGAAGGTCTGTGCAAGTCGCGACGGAAAAAAAAACGTCTGGAAGGCGGCGCGTGGTGGCGCGTGCAGCGGCTGACGGCGATGGGTCCAGTGGCGGTCGACTCGTCGGATCCTTTTGAGTCGAATGGTCACCTCACTTTTTTGATCGGAGGTCAGTAAACTAGGTTTCTGTGTTGGACAGATTCAAGGCGGTGTTTAGGAGGTGTTTGAATGGTTATTTCAGATTTGAATTAGGGTAGGAACGAACCCGCTCTGATACCATATTGAAAAGAAGTTTTTGTATATTGATATTGAATAAATTACATGAGTGAGTATTTATACAAGAAAGAATCGCTAAGAATGACTAAGCGATGACTAATCAATCCTATCACAATCCTAATCACAATCAATTCTAATCAATCACAATCAATCCTAATCAATCATAATCAATCATAATCAATCCTAATTAATAGGAAATAAAAACAGAAACATGTTTGAATTCTAATTTTCTACTTGGAGCAGCAATAAGTTTGCTGCTCCTTTTGTGACCTGGAGGACAAAGTTTGAACATGGAAAATAGTCTCTTTATAAAAATAAAATGCAAAGGTAAAGGTAAAACTGCCTATAATCTACCCTCAACCCTATTCTTATGAAGGCGGGAGTCTTGTGCACCGTAATTTTCCTTTTTTATTACTTGAAATGAAAAATTTATCCCCTTTGCTTCTGTTCCAAACATATGGAAGGATAAGTCAAGATGTTTGAAGTGAAATGTTGTTGGGGGATCTGTTTAAATGGATTTTTATCATGGAACCACAGGTACGACACAATACCTCAACCTGCATGGGATGGAACCAATAACATATTAATGGTTTCGGTATGATTTTGTCATCGCATAAATGTACAAGTAGAAATGTAGCCATTTTACACCCTCAATAAAAGTTACTGGTGTTGTTTACAGTGAAGATGGCTGATACCATGGAATAGTCCTCATTCCACACACTACTCTATACTCAATCTCTTAAATTGAGCTTTGTATCTTAATCCTTGAGTTGCTTGTGCAAATTGTTGATTAGAGGTCGTCTTTTTGAATGTTTTACTCCTTTCTTTTTGATTTCCATGCTTGGATGGATCTATCATCTAAAATGTGATTAACTTATACTAATGTAATCTTGTATGTTGACCTTCCATTGCATTATTTATTCATTTCTTTCTCTTTTTAATATTTTTCATATATTTTGTCATTTTGTCAACTCTTATTATTCATGATGGTTGTAGATTCCTGGGCCCTCACCGAAAGGAGAAATAATAGAACACCAGAAGAAAATTGGTCTTTGGGGAGTAACGATACCTTCAGCAGATTCAACTGTTGTTGGAAAAACACTTTCAAGTCTAACAGAAAACCCCCATGGTCTCCCTGGGATGAATGAGAGTGCTGAAATAGTAGAGAAAAGGAAAGCCTTTTGGTCATCTGTAAAGCCAGCTCATTTTGGTGTGAAATTTGGCTCAAAATCTTTGTTACACATTGTTGGACTTATAATGTTTGGAATAATCATTGGTCTTTTAGGAAGTACCTCTTTTGGAAGATGGCTTCTTTTGAAATATCCTTCCATCTTTAGTCTTGGTGGGTTCAGCAAGAAGGGTCCTTCTGAAGAGGAGGTGGAAAGTGCTTCATTTAAGATGTGGTTTGTTGGACATGGTTTTAGCAATGAGAGTCTTGCTGCACAGGGAAACACAAAACCTGACATGGAAATCATAACAAGAATAATGGGACCTGAAGTTGGTTATGTAACCACACCAATAATTCTGATTCAGTGTGCTCTCATTCTTCACAGCCAAAGAAACAACCTACCAAAGGGAGGAGTTTACCCTCCAGGGATTATATTTGGTCCAACCGATCTTCAGGAAAGACTTCAACAAAATGGAATATCTTTTGATGTCATCTCAAAGAGCACCCTTTCTTCTTGACTGGTTTTTTCACTTTGTGTTCTTAATCCTTCATTTTGTTTTTTCAGTTCATCAAAGCAGGCAAACTCCTAAAATTTTGCTTTCAGTTCATTATTAAGAATCGCCAATCTTAACAAATTTTAGAACAATGCATGACATCTTTCATTTTGTTATACAAAGAGCAAAAGTTGAAGATTTATGTTTTAACATTTTCAGTTAAGGTATGGTGAGACAAGAAAAGAGTACTCTGATGTAGTGTGGGACAAGAAGAAAAGGATAAAAATTTTTTTGAACACTACTGGAATTAAAAAGCTAACAGACAATACAAAGTTTGGGGCTCGACACCCCCATCAAATCCCTTCTTAAAAGGGTGTTACACATTTGCGGAGGCTCATGCAACACATGCAGGTAAGTAGCAGTGACCCATTGCTGCAAGTTTGTCAGCAACCATATTTCCTTCTCTAAAGGCATGACTAACCTTAGTAACCCACTGTTTTCCCAATAAGTCACGAATTCTCTTGACAGTAGAAGCCGAAGGATGCTGCGAATCACACCCTTTGTTGATTAGAGCAACTGTCACTTGCGAGTCTCCCTCTATCCAAAGCTGTCTAACCCCTGCATCCCAAGAAAGCTCTATACCCATAAGGAAACCCCATAACTAAGCTCTTGTAGAAGAACCAGCCCCTAGATTATGACAGAAACCGTATAGCCATCTGCCAGAATCATTCCTTAGCTCTCCCCCACAGCTAGACTTCCTTCCACCATCGCAACTAGATCCATCGACGTTAATTTTGCATCATCCCACATCTGGAAATTTCCAGCAGATGAGCATTTCCTCCTTTATTTGTGTTTGAAACCATGAGCAGCAAGCACCTTGTATGCTTTTGTGATGTGATCCACAAACACTTTCGCACCTCTAATCACAGAGAGCTGGTATTGAGGATTTGTTCTCGAACACAAGGTTGTTCCTAGCTCTTCAAATAAACCAACACAACACCCCAAATAGGTCCCCCAAACAAGATTCTGAAATTTCTCAGTGCTTCTAGTATTATTCAACAACCAAGATTGAAGGGGAGAACTGAAGAGTTCCTGCGCCTTACTCCAGAGGTTGGAGACTTGGACGGATGGTTTAAGCGAAGGAATTTGAACATCTATTTCCTTCCCATAACACGCTCAAGGATGCTGAGGACAGCTTTGTGTTGCAGACCAGCTTCTTCAAGAGTCTGACGCAAGAAACACCAATTCACTCTATCATAGGCCTTTTCCAGATCAACTTTTATAGCCATCCAACCCACCTTACCTTTCTTGAACTTCATGGAATGAATTATCTACTGAGCTATGATAATACTATCACTATTATGTCTTTCTTTTATAAAGCTACATTGATTTGGCATAATTAGAGAGTCCAGGGTGAGGTCTTAGCCTATTAGCCAGGATTTTGGAAATCGCTTTAAACACCACATTACTTAGGCTAATAGGGCGGAGTTGCTTAATGGAATCTGGGTTTTCTTCCTTGGGGATAAGACAAATAAAAGACTTATTTAAGTGCAAGAAAATTGGTAAAGCGATTATTCATTGGAAGTTTTCCCCCGAAGATTATGTTAAACTTAATGTAGACGCTCCAGCATAGACATCGGACAGAAGACTGCGTGTGGTGGTGTAATTAGGGATGTTGCAGGGAACTAGTTTCACAAAGTTCCTAGGAAGTGGTACGTCTACTTCAGCGAAAATTTGGGGCTTCTTGACAGGTATGAAACTGGCTTGGCAGAAGGGTTTTTAGAGAAGTCTATGTAGAAGGTGATTCAAAGGTGGCATTGGAGTTTATAAAGAAAGGGTGTGAAGAAAGTCATCTATTTTCCTCTTTAATTATCAGAGCTCATAGCATGTTTCAAAGAGGCTGGGTCTTACAGCTTAATCATACCTATAGGGAAGGCAATTATGTAACTGATTGGCTTGCAATACATACACCTCATTCTAGATGGGCAACTGATTGTGCTTGACATTCCTCCGACTGTATATTTGGAGTTGCTACAAAATGATATGAGGGGAGTTAGTCTCCCAAAGATGTGCCCATTACAGATTTTTTTTGTTTTTGTTTTAGCTTTCCTTATTATTTCCAAAAAATAAAAAAATAAAAATCGGTAAAGCGATTTAGTTGGATTTCGACCCAAGTATTGTAGTTCCTAAAAGGATTGATACCCACTTGAGCCAGAGAACTTTAACAATAGTGTTTAGTGTTGTTATTATTAATTTATTCAATTCGTAGTTGGCGTATTAGAAGGTATAAAATGAGTTGAATTGTGCATTCTTTATTTTTACACTATTTATTAAGATTCTATTTGACATGTTTTATTTTAAATTTTTATTTTTCTTAAAATCAAAAGCTTAGCCAAATATATTTTTATAAAAGTTTTTATTATAAAAAATCTTTTTTTATAATAAAAGATAAAAAAAAGTAAAAACTTCTAAGAGAATTTTTTTTCTTTTAAAGATGTATATGAGCTTATTTTAGAGTTTTTATATTTATTTTACAGTTTTATCCTTATTCTAAATTTATTTATAATTTTTTTATCCTATAATACATCAATAAATTATTGGGCAAAGTTCAAATATCTCCCGTAGTTTGCCTTTGAATCACTTATTCCCCATGCTCCCTTATGCTTTTTTTCCTCCAAGTCCCTCCTTAACAGTGCTAGAGTTTCTAATTAGTATGATTATTTTACCTTTTTTACAAAGATACACTTAGTTACCTTGTGTCATCTTCTTCCCCAAGCTTTGCAAGGATGTTTTATCATACAAAATTTCTCCAGTTTCAAATGAAATTTGTGAAGGTAATAAATTTCCCTTTTTCGCTTCCTGCAAATATTTTATGCATAAAATTTCAAGGTATTAAAGGAGAATTTTGTGACAAAAAATAATGGCTCAAGGTAAAGATTCATTCAGATTGACAATCTTCATTTTATTCAATAGAGCTTGTAAAAGATTTTGCGAAATTAAAAATTTGCATTTTTTTTACAAGAAAAGGGAATATGTGTGGGAGAAAAATGAAAAAAAATATCTTTAATCATCATATTAGGAGGAATAGAGAAAATTAAATATATACTATATCTTACGAAAATTAGAAATTTATAGTTGCATTATCCAAAAAAAAAATGAAATTTATAGTTACATGTTGTAGAGTGCAAAAGTTATACAGTTACTTGTATTTTTTTTTAGTACATCAAAAGGGGCTTATAGCCAAAAACACAAAAACTAAACAACTAAATTACAATTGTCATGCAATTGGGGATATAGTTAACGTAATCACTGGACAGTGGAATATGGATCTTATCCAAAGGTGCCTGCCCCCAGTTGTATCTCAAACCATCCGTGCGATCATCCCTCCCTCTGATGAAAGGGGCCCTGACCTGATCAGTTAGTTTGAATCATAATCCAAACCAAGGGAGCATTGTAAAGAAAGCGTATATGTATATCAAGAACTTTGACCCTGCTAATTCGGATCCCATTTGGAAGCGTGTATAGCACTGGAAGGGCCCCTATAGGATCAGAACTCTTGCCTAGCTGGTCATGCATGGGTGTATTCTTACCAAACAATATACCCCAAGATGGGATGGATCTTCCTTTTGTCACATTTGTCCTCATAAGTCGGAAGATATATCCTATGTCCTTAGAAGGTGTGGCATATCAACGCCTATCTGGGTGGCTTGGTTTGCTGGTAACCTCCCTGCTGATTTCATCACTCTCTCCCATGAAGACTGGATTCGCAAAAACCTCAACAACGGCTGGGCTCACCCTCAGACTTGGGAGTGGCGTGACATCTTCTTAATTACCATCTAGTTCTTATGGATGTGGAGGAATAATGAAGTTCATGATCCCATCTTCACTAGACCCTATAATCCTATCCTTTATATTTCCTCTTATATAAGCGAAATCAAGCTTGTTGGGACTGCTCTTGCTCCTACCCAGAACATGGCTCTGAGTATTCAACCTGTGAGATGGCAGCCTCCTCCTCAAGGTGTTATGAAATTTAATGTGGATGCAGCTGTCTCAAAGACCTCGAAGCTGGCATCCTGTGGTGGCCTCCTCCGGGACCACAGAGGATCCTGGATCACTGGCTTCACATATAAAGTGGGAATTTGCAACCCTTTGTGCGCTGAGTTATGGGCAATTCTCAAAGGTCTTCAATGTGCTTGGAGCGTGAATGTTACTTCCTTAATTATCGAGAGTGACTCTCTTCTAGCTATTAAGGCTATAGAGAACGACTCCAGGAACTCCCCCAACAGGGCTCTTGTGTCCTGTATCCAACAATGGCGTGATCTGCAGTGACAAATTCCTTCCACCATACCCGCAGGGATGAAAATAGGTGTGCCCATTGGATTGGCTGGCTGGTGTTGCTGCCCACGCTCATGAGAATTACGTTGTTCTTTCTAGATGTCCGCAAGGACTATTTTCTATGCTGGGATCTGATGCCTAGCTGATTAACATTGTATAACTTTGTTTTTCTTTTGGGCTTAGGCCCCTCCTTTGTACTTAAAAAAAAAATTACAATTGTCATGAGCCAACAAAGGGCTCAAACCGAAGGGAATCTCCCAGTGAACAACCATGTTCTCCTCTATTTGACCACCTAACTTAAGCCAACCAATTAGGCACATCTATTTCCTTCTCTTCTTGTATGAACAAGTTGAATCTGCCACTGATGATTAAGCCAATCCTTAATAATACTAACCACCTGATAATTAGCAGCAAGGCTGCATCAATTTGAGAGAGCCTTAATCGCAATGGAAGAATCACTCTCAACTATCAAGCATTTAACGTTCAATTCCCATGCTACCTGAAGGCCTTTCAGAATTGCCCAACGCTCAACAAGTAAAAAAAGAGCAAATTCCTATATTATACGTAAATCCTACCACCCAAGAGCCTTTGTCATCTCTTAATAGACCACCACAAGAGGCTCTTTTAGTATTGATATTCACTGCCCCATCCACATTGATCTTCCACCACCCTTGAGGAGGAGGAGGGGGGGTTTCCACACAACCTGCCTCAGCTCTCTAGAGACGTTTGACCTCTGCACCCTTTTGACATCAGCAATGTAATTGGAGATAACAAAAACGGGATATAGACCAGGAAAAAACCTGTTAAAAGACGACCACGAAGAATAAACCAAATAAAATTTTGCAATCTACGATTCCAAATAGGATCCGAGACCTGGCTATCGAAAACCCATAATCCGGTTATAGCAGTTGACAATTTTCCTTTCAATTGTGTTATTTATCCAACTAAGATAATCAACCCCCCTACCATTAGAGGGAGGGACAAATGACCGGATATGGTGCACTAATCTTTATTACACCAGCTACGAATTCTAAGAAGGTTCCACTCCCCAGATACTTGTATCTTTATGTGATTGGTTAGTATTTTATACAGTAAAGTATCAATCAATCAATGAATTTATAAACTATCAATCAATGAAAGTTGTTATAGCAAATTTTCAACACCTATAATGGCTTAACTATACAGGTTTAATTTTGAATAGTTTGTTTGGCTTTTTGTTCTCATTACATTATTAATGGAGCTTCACAAATTTTTTCTGCGGTAAAACACTCTTGCAAAACTTGAGGAAGAAGAGAACACAAGATAACTAAATTGTATTTTTATAGGAAGAGTAAAATAATCATATTAATTAGAAACTCTAATACTATTAAAGATAAACTTAGATGAAAAAAAAAGACAATAGTAGGATAAATGATAAAAAAAAAAAAAAAAAAAAAACAAAGCTATAGAGAAATAAGTGATTCAAAGAGGTACTTGAACTTTTCCCTAAATTATTTTATCTTCCCTCCTATCATTTTTTAGAAACCATTAAAGCAACTTTATATAAGCATTTTTTTTCTAAGTTCTTTCCCCTAGTATTACAGTTCTGAACCAACTTGTGTCATATTGATGAAATTCCAAACTTCTTTAAATCAACGTTCATGGATGTCTTTAACATGACGCCAGAAAAAGAATTAAAAGACACTGACAAGCTAAGAGATGAACAGGTTTAGGTTTGTTCAAGATGTATCAAGCAAACGATAATGGCTTGTATAGAATGAGATATATCCTAATATTCAATCTGATGACTTCTATACATTCGAGATATTTCATTTTTCTCTTAGGAAACTCGATATTTTGCTAATCAATTAACATTTCCCCATTTGTGGTCTGAATGGTGGCCTTGGTACTCTGTATGCTTAGCCCGTCAGTCTGTTTCTTCATGTGCTGCGACCTGACAAACTCCTCAATTCTCGCTTTTAGTTCATCATTAGGAATCAGCGAATCCGCAGTAAGATGGGAACGGTTGAAAGGATCAGTCTGCACAAATAAAGCAAACAGAAAAGAATAAAACAGGGAACCTCTTCTCCATATGAACATCATTAAATGAGGAACAAAAGGTCAAAGACGTACACTATCACTAAGAAGATGTCTCTGAATGACAGGTCGATCAACTGTGATCCTTGAAGAAGGCAAGATGACTGGATCCTTCATCAAAGTGTACTACAATATAAACAAAAAAGGTCATGTATTTCTGTGTGTGTTTAGATTAACTTAAGTATTCAAAACAGTCTATAATCAAAATTTACGAGTCCTTTTGAAACAAAAGGAAAAAGAAGCAATTTTTCACCCAAAAAAAATGCACCAAACATGCACCTAGTCAGCACAAAACTTTAATTTTTGCTATTTCAAAAAGATGATATGCAAGCATGTGTGAGCAAAATGATTTAGATTAATATAAACAATATAAACAAAAAAGGTCATGTATTCTTTGTGAGTTTAGATTGACTTATGTATTTAAAACAGTCTATAATCAAAATTTATGAGACATTTTGAAACAAAAGAAAAAAGAAGCAATTTTTCACCAAAAATAATGCATCAAACATGCATCAGACACGAAAAAAGTGATATGCAAGCGTGAGCAAAATGTAGATCACATGTTAGTCACCGTGTACTTTTTCACAAACACACACAAGGAGAGAGAAAGAAGCACTGAACATACTTGAATTGGATCAAGGAATTCATCTGGTATTTCTCCTAGAGTAGCTTCGGTATCCATGGCCTCTGAAGCTGCAACTTTAGCTTTAGCACCAAGTTGAATAAATTCATGGATGATTCTTGGATCGTCACCAATCCTGTGAAGGACTTCTGCTGCAGCACTAAATAACTGCAGCAAATTCTCAGTCAGATTGCATTTGTTTATGGTAAAACAGACCAAAAACAACTTCAGAACAATTCTGCAGTACATTAAAAGTCTCACAAAACTTACCTGATCATTATATGATCGACCATCCTTTGAAATGGCAGCTGAGAAGACGGACTTTGTATCACCTCTAGCCACATGAACATATACATGCACAATCTTCAAACGAATAATTTAAAGTTATTAGTAATATATCAGTGTCATGTAACATATATGACACAAGATTCTGGTGCCAAAGAGGTTGAAAGTGGAACTTCAATTGTAACTATATCTCTCCCTTAAAGAGTTAAAGTGATCCGAAGAGAAAACCTCCCCACATTCCTCTTCCGAAAAGACAAACCAAACTATCATTAATATTTAATATAAAATAAATAACAAAGAACAAAGGGGTTTTGGTAGTATGCAAGATTACAACAAACAATAACTCATCATAAAATGATTCAACCAACTTACTACTATTGGGAAAAGTTTTTCCAACAAACTAGAAGTTAACCATACAGAACAACAAGGAATACATAAGAAGTTAATGTGGAATCAGCATAAGGCAGAAGATTCTGCTACCACATATAGGTTGAAGTGGAACTTCAATGATTTTGGCAATATATATGCAAAAGAGAAAACAACTCATTCATGAAAAGACTCAACCACTGTTGAGAAAGTTTTCTCAATTAGAAATTAAGCATGCAAAGCAACAAGGAATACAAAAGAAAATAACATGGTGCATAAGAATATAACAGAAGAAATAAACGTTAAGTGTAGCAGCACTTTTTGTTATTATTATTATTATTATTGTCTTTGGGTTGAGCATAAGAGGAAATCAAAACCACAAGACTTGAAATCATGCCTTAAATTAAAGACTTATATTACCTTTATATAGATTTCATATATAATTCTCATAACTTCATTAATATAAGAGTTCTCGGTTCCCCAAGAATATGATAAAAAAGCAAAAAAGAAAATAGAATATCTATAGAACTTACATTAGCTAGCTAGTTTACTAGTATTTTACTTCATAGATAGCATGCTTAAGGTGGTTCTTTCTACTCAATCACTAAATCTATAATTCACATAGGCTCTATTTAGATGGCCAGAAAAATTAGCATAGTAGATATTGCTCCCAGGAAAAAAATTCTTAAGAAATCTTAGCTCCAGTGCTTCGTGGAGTTGGTGAGAATAATGGAAATGAAGACAGACAAACAGATAGACACACACAATAGAAAATCAAAATTACAAAGAAAAATTCCAGTTTCATTTATTGACTTCTGTTTTTATTCAAAGAAAGACTCTGGTGCACATTTTGCAATTTACACCCATACATCACATATCATCTCATTGTCAAGCACCAACTCTTCTAAATGCATAAGCAATTGGAAGGAAGCCTAGGAATGATTTTATATCTTTAACATGACCCCCTCATACAAGAAAACTTTGGCCTTCAAGCATGAACAATACGCAGGCTCCCCTTATCTTGAGCTGAAATTTAAGAGTAAACACCCATTTTGTCCTTCAAAGGTATAAGCTTCGTTAGTTTGGTTGTCCAAAAAATGAATCCATTAAAATGGCCCTTCAATTGCAATTTTTGCTGTCGAATCCATCAATGTCAATATTTGACACCAAATGGACCAATTTGATGTCAAAAATTAACAATGAAGAACAATTTTAATGTAGTTGGAGGACCAAAATGAGTGTTTACTCTTCAATTAAGAATGGGAGGCTAAGTGGCAAGAACTGAACTCCTAACCACTTGGTAGTAGAGATTCTAATACAATGTCAAGGACCAACTTTCCTAAAACTTAAGATGTTGGATAGAGAGTTAGAGGCCCAAGAATGAATTTTATATCTCCAACAGTCATTAAGTGGTTTTTCAAAGGCTCAAAAGTCAAAACTGTAGATCATGTACAATTGAACCAGTCAAAAATTGAAGTTCTTCAAATTCATGTGATCAATGAAGCAGTATTTATAACGTTTTTAGGACCAATCCTGAAACAGTTATGTTTAAACCTATAGACCGCAAAAGAATAGCATATCACCACTCCTGTCATAGTTGTTCACCATAGAAAAAGAAGAATTCACTTTAAAATTTTTGGAAAATAGTTGATGCCAACCTGTTTTAGCAAATCCTTTGGACGAAATTCATACTTCTCAGGGTCTTTCAGGCTAAGTGATTTTCTTTGTGGACCCACCAATTGCAGCAAAAAGTAATTGAGCATGCTAGCCACTCTTTCAACCTTGAAAAAGTGGAAAAATAAGATTAAACTCATAAGGAGATTAGCAAATTTCAGAGGAAAATTATACTTTAGCTACTAATACTGTTTTATGACATGACAAGATGAATGAATAACAAGCAAAGGTTGGAAAGAGAGAGAAATTACCATCTCAGGAAGTAGGAATGGAGCAGTAATTTGCTCTGAAGTAAATGCAAGCATACTGACATCTTCATTTGCCAACTTCATATCAATCCGAATAATCTGCAAAATTGTCCAGCATTATATGCTTTACTAGATTACTTAAATTTAAAAACAAATGCAAATACATAATTACATATTAGACCAAAAATTCAGACAGACATTTTCTTGAGAATGGAATAACCGGGTCCTCTCCTGCCTCTCTTGATCTGTCCGTTGCTCCCATTCAACCGTATTTGACATCTCAGCCTCCAATTCTTTCAGCTCAAGAATTTTGTTCAGACTTTCGTCAAGAAGATAAATACTATCATTAATCAGAAAGTTTAAGAAATTCAGATAGACACCCTTTTCCTCTTCTTTAGCAATCTGGAAGAAAATTAATTGCAGCGAAAATTAGAGACAGTTGAGTATGGTGTGAGATAAAAAAAAATCAAATATTTTTAATATATTACCTGTCTCCAAGCATTACGATGACTAGGGACCTGCCACAGGTATTCAAGGAGTTCGGCGATATTGTGGCGGATGTTAAACTTGTCATAAAACTGCAACGAACAAGTGACAATTAAGACAAATACTAAGGTCAACAACAGACACCCTTTCTTGAATTCAATAAACAAAAAGATTAATGATTTCAATTATTAAACCCCATCGTGTATATAGGAAACCATATCCGAGGAATAAACTACGAGCTACAAAAAATGGAGAAACAGTTTGAAATAAAATTCATAAGTTCCCCTGACATTGATAATCAATGACATGTTTAGGATTACAATAAAACATATTTATTTAATCATCTTATATCATCATTTAGTAAAGAAGACCACCAACATGACTCACATGGAACCCCGTGTGGATGCTCAAGCTTGAGTTTCAAGACAATAATCAAGAGAGGCGATTAATTCAAACATATTCCTCACTAATATAGAAATTTATGGCATTTAAAAAAAAAGAATTATCTAGTCATGCCACTAACACAGCCTAGAAATGTAGACTAACCTGCGTGTGAGAACCAGTGAACTCAATGTCGACATAAAGATTTAGAAGATTCCTCACAAGATACTCAAGAGACAGTTGGTGCCCTTCAAATAGAGTAGCTGTAGTAGATAAGCTGCAGCAAAAAGGGAATAGGGCAGGGCCGGGCAGGGACACATATACCCAATTATTAAGCTTGAAGACTTCAAGCAAGATTTAGCGATATAAAAATAATAATAATAACTGAATATTCCACTTTTATACATAAGAATGGCACCAAATTACCTCCTACTGGGCATCCAACAGTTCAATACTTCAACCATCTTTGCTCTCAGATATGGGTTTTTGATAAATTTAGGGCTGGCCATGAACATGATTATAAAGTTCATAAATTCATCCTGCAAAACAAGAACACAAATACATTATCCTTCATAAATAGAATTTGGGAGAGAGAATTAATCCAAGAAAAACTCTTGATGTGAAGTTTACCAGTACGACTCCATCCAACGCCTTTGGAATACGAGAAGCAAATATTAGAAGTTCCATGGCATCTTCCACAAAATGCTCAGGCAGAGTAGCAAACTCCATTGGGCAAGTTGGTGGTAGAGGCATCTTAAATCCACCAACCAAGCCAACTAACCAAACAATCATCAGGCGGTGGAAGTAAAGTGCATTCTGAATAAGAGTGCTATCCTAAGGAAAATAATGTGAAGCCAATAAAGTCAAAATGAGAATATTGACACTTTAAAAAGCTAGAAAAAAACATTTAAAAGCAACAAGAACTTATAGCATAACTACATAATACGACTGATGAATCAAACATCAAACTTAAGTAAACATTAGGCTCGGAAGAACATATAAACTTTATAGGTACAATATGAAACAATTATCCTTTTAAGCAATCACAATAATGAATCTTGTCTTCACTATGAATAAAAAGCTCCTTTAGGTTCTATCAATGCCCAAATGTCAAAAGAAAATTGAGAATGGTAACAATACTAAAAGTTACTAAACAAAGAGAACCCCATTTGTGACATTGTGTAAATAAATAACACTGTATAAAATTAGTCTTATTTATATTATAGCATAAGTCTATGTACAGCAGGAAGTACAAGGTTTAGCACAAGATTAGTACAGTACATCTGTAGAATACTACAATCTGCAGTACACGGTATACAATAAACACTATGGCAGCTACAACTTTTACACTCCCATCAAAATAGAGCATATAAATCATATTCTTGCAGCTTGTTACAAATGTAGCTAATCCAAGGACCCTTGAAAGACTTCATTAAATCCATATGCTTGAAGGTCATTCATGTTGACGAAATCACGAAACTAGCTGCATAACATCAATACAAAAATCTTCTCTTGGATGAAGTGACAGTCTACCAATGTTTGGTTCTCACATAAAACACTGGTCTGCAAATAAAATGCAAGGCCGTTTGAGTTGGGACTTGCGTATATATTTTCAATTGGAATTTAACTAAATATTAGTTAAGATTTTAAGAGGGCGAGCTTGGAGAAATGGTAAAGCTGCTCCTTTGTGACTGAAAATTCGAAGGTTCGAATTCGGAAAACAACTTCTTTGCAACTATGCAAAGGTTGTGTACAGTAAATGGGGAATGGTCCTTTATTAGTTATGATTTTAAGGTTATTATTATATTAATACATGTTTGGGCACACTTGCTTGTGCAAGTTTGAATATAATTTTGAATTTTAGATAAGATCTTATGACGACCACGTAGATTGAGGAGGTTTGGGCACGTAATAAGAAGGCCCCTGGATGCTCTAGTAAAAACAAAAATTTGTTACCAAGAGCTCGACACAAAGAGAGGTAGAGGTAGACCTAACTTACTTGGGGGAAGGTAGTAAAATAAGACTTAATGGAGTGAGAAATAGATTGGCGGACGGTGTGTCTTAGGATGGAACGGAGAAAAGCTATAAGAATGGTGGAGGGTTAGACCTGTTGTTATTCCTATGTTCCACATAATCTCTTTTTAGTCTTTTTCCTCTTCACCTCCCTCCCTCCTTTATTTTCCTTTATCTCTTTTGCCCTTCCCCATTTTTTTTCTTACTTATTTATTTGTTTTTTTCCACACCTTTTTTTTTTTTACTTTTTTATATATATATATATATATATATATATATGGGGAAGGATATTATAACAACCAAGTTGTGTTACTATCATGTTACTACCAATCAATCTCACCGTTAGATCGATTATGTTGATCCAACGGTTATATTTATTTTCATCTTTGTATGATTATGATTCTCCATATTTAAAGTGAAAGCATTAAATATGGGAAATCATAACCATACAAAGGTGGAAATAAATATAAAGTATTAAATATGGGAAATCATGACCATACAAAGATGAAAATAAATATAACCGTTAGATCAACATAATCAATCTAACGGTGAGATTGATTGGTTACAACATGGTAGTAACACAACTTGGTTGATACAATATCCTTCCCCTATATATATATATTATTATTTTATTTTTTTATATATTATATTTGTCTTACTTTCTTACACTATTTTTTGCCCTCTTATATATCTCTTATCTTTAGTTTACCTTAATATACTTTCCCCTTTTAATTGTTTACCTCTATATATATACACACACACACTCTTAAATTTCATTTTTATCTTTTTTCAATCTCTTCGTATTTTTCATTTGGTTTCATCTACCACCGACCCCAATTAGTTTGAGATAAAGGTGTTGTTGATGTTAATCTTATGACGACCACATAATTTACGTGTCATCCCCCTTCCGAGGTAGGATCTCAATTTTGAAAACCTTGACAGAGTTGCAAACAATACAAGGTGTAGTACATGAGTACAGTCGTACAATGTATAGCTATTATTTCTACAGAAACTATAGAGCTATTTAAGTCTAGTGATCTCCTCAAACCCAAACCCCCACCCCCACCCCCCTCGGAAACACACACACACATACAAATATACACAAATTACATGAAAACTAGGAAGCACGGAAGCAACTTATTTCATCTTCATGTGCATTACTGCATGTGCACATGCTTATAGAAATAACAAGCAACTGCAATGAGAGAAAATAAAATATGACCTACCCTCAATATCTGAGCTTCGTAACATAGCTTTTCCTGTGAGTACAACTCCATTTCTTTCTCAAGTCGAGATATATCCGACTCCAACTGAGGAGAGGGAGACTGCCCCCGCATGGCTTTAAATGTGGAAAGAGCATCTTCACACCTAGAAATATCCTGGATAGAATATGACTCTAGAGTTTATATTCTACATAACTTGGAAGAAATCATTCAAAGCATATAAGAAATAAGGCAATATTAAAACTTAGGCCCCATATAATAATAATACTAACAATCTTTAATTCTAACCAAAAAAGAGACGTGATTACCTGAACTAAGTGTTTGAAGTCAGAAAATGCTTTTAAAAGGCCTAAGTTGAGCACTCTTGCGGTCATGAAGAAGCATTCACAAATAAATGAATATTTCGTCTTTCCACCACGTGCAGAATTTTCATTTGAAAGCTCACCGGCATTATTACTACCAGAACTGCTGGCTTCTTGAGACTGTTGCAAGCGTTTCTGACCATCATTACATTGATCGATTTCCCCAACCTTAGCTGGGGTTTTACTATCAAGCCATTCAGCAACTTCTTCTGATGATGCGTGAAGAGCAGTCAACCCACTAAAACAGTATTACAACCAAAAGTTAACTCTAGAGTGATACATGAAACTTGCATAAGAAATTTACTATTTAATATACAAATCCCTCACCTTAGCTTCAAACGGTTTGAATAGTGTACATATTTTGGATCAATTTTGTCCCTTTTTGTTAAATTTGCGTCTAAAAATGGCTCACAGAGCCGAAGCATGACAGCACCAAGACTTACAAACATGCCCGAACTTGCACAAGTTATAGGGTCAACCTGTTTTTTAAAAATGTCATACATATTCTCATAAGACATAACAAAGCAAGTTAAAAAAGAGAAACTTCAGGCATGAATACGAAGAAAGTAAATTAATACATATGAAAGAAGCTATTGAATTCTATTTCACCGTTCTTCAATTTTTTCTTTTTTAAATGCAGATAAGAAATAATTTACCTGTATATGAGCTCTGGATGCGTTTAAATTGATCACCTCCGCAAGGAACTCAAGTACATTTTCACGAGTATCTGTACTTTTAAGGAGGATGAGGAGAACTTCAGCCAGGCCATCATATAAGCTATTCATGACAGTTTTGATAGTGGAGAATGAAGATAACAAATCAGATTGTCGCCGAGTTGATGCATCAGAAAAGCACTGCTGTCTGGATTATAAACAAGAGAAAAAATATGTTACAAAAGGAATTCAATTCAATTAATAAACAATAAAATATCTCATCCAAATAAGTCCAACAACTAAGGTTCGTGGAGTACATATATAGACCTCGACAAGGAAAGAATCATCAAGAAGTGGAAGCACGAATATAGGGTTGCAAATAAAAAGCAACAAAAATGGGACAAATGAATGTAAGTCTGTAACACACAAAGCAAGAAGCAAGGTGCAAGGAACTCATCCTCCCAGCAATCAATTGAGTTTGACAAAGAGGAAGCAAGAATATGCCTAGCACATACACTAGTTGTTATCACTTCATTACTATTAACTCCAATAATATGCTGAAATACCAACATATTGACCATAAACCAATTATTTATATGAAAGCAATCACAAGTAATACTATTCTACTTTGTTCCTCACCAATCCAGACTAACAGAAAAGCAAGACTAAAATATCATCAACAACTGAATTTTAAACAAACTAATTACACAACCAAACATAACTCCTAAAGAAAATGAAAATTGTAAGCTCACCCAACGTCAGGCTGGCTCTTGAAAAATGTTTGGTCAGGAAGGGCACTGATGTGAAAAAAGGGACCCAAAATGCTGGCCATTTCAATGGCACGCCCATTCATGTAAACGGCTTTTGGAATCCACCATTCATGACTCACAAAGGACTTTGCACCAATGGGAAACCTAACCAAAAACAACAAAGCCCTCAGAGAGTCTTGGAAATTCCCAAGAGCAGAGACATTCATCACACTCTCTCTCAACTTCTCATACAGCCCTTTAAAAATAGGGACCAAGCTATCAACGTCAGAATCCCAAAACAACTCCTCAAGAAACCCCGGCGGACTCTTCACTCCTCCGCCACCTCCTCCGCCGCCAAACACGCCTCCACCACCTACCTCCGCGAATATCAGCGGCAAAAGCGACGAACTGCCTCCGCCGGAACCAGAACTCGGGCTCGAAAAGAGTTCCGGATTCGCCAAATGTATCCTGCAGTACGAGACGCAAAGCTTCTTCGCTTGCCTCACCACAGCTTCCATCTCCGACCTCAAATCCTTGTCCTTCATGTTCGCGATTTTCTTCCCCTCATCGTGCGCGCGCTGGTAACAACCTACGAGGTACTGAAAGGTGGATTCGCTGGCAGCGGCAGCGAAATCGCCGGAGATTCGATCGATGAGTACTCTCTCCATAGAATCACGCGAGAGACGAAGGTCCTTCCCCTCGCTGAGAATCTCAGCCGCGGTTAACTCCAAGTACACGATTCTTGAATCGCTGTTGGTTTCGGTGATCGAAACGAGGAAGATTTTCCTGATGATAATGTCCTCCACTTCCTCTGGAGTTCGTTGGGGTTTCGAAGTAGCCATGGAGTAAAGCTAAAGAGTAATCAAAATCAATCGGTTTTTCGTTGTTCTTGAATTTTCTTGGGGTTTAGGTTTGGGTTTGAATGTGATTTTCTATTTTCTTCTTTCCAGAGAAACAAACAGAAAAAAGAGCGAGTGAACTCAGTTCAATATAAAAGAACTCGACTATGCTACAGAGAGACGTGCTTTTTGTATTAGAAAATTCGATTTTTCAGATTTGAAAAAAACAAAATTGATTTTATTTAATTAGTATCCCTTGAAATGTAAATTCAATCTGATAAAATCAGAATCTGTTTAGATTAATTAGACTGAATCTGTATAGAATCTGAAAAGGAGTGAAAGATGGCTTTTTGAACATTATAATCCTTTATTAATAATTAATTACCAAATTGACCTTTATTATAAACTATTTCAAAAATTTAACCCCCTCAAAAAACATAACATCAATCTGCCCCTGTTTGATCGTTGACCACCAAGCCTACCCGGGTACACCCCTCCCTACTCGGATAAGGAGGTGTGTACCCGGGTATTGTTCTTGACACCTGAAAAATTGTTTGAATTATTTACCCGGGTAAGAAGTGGTGTACCCGGGTAAATATTTCTCCACATCTGGTAAATATTTCTCCACATCTTCGTTTTCATCTATGAGTTGGGTGTTGTTATTCACAGTGGCATCCTTTCAGGGCTAATGGTCTTGTACCCTGACAAAATGACATTTTGGTTTGACATATTCAAAGTAAGTTTTGTCTTAAAGTGTTGTTATTCATAATTCTTAACTTGTTGCATTATTTATCACTGATGTTTTGTATTGACAAAGATCTCTTTTATCATTTCAGAATATAGATAAAATAAGGAATGTTAACTGCCCAGTCTTAGTCATACATGTACGTATATCTTTTTATCTATGTTTCTTATTAGTTTCTGCATTTATACCTCTTTCAGTGTTCAAACTTGCTTAATAGTTTCTTTCTTGAGGCTTCTATCCTGAAGAGATTGTTATTTTTTTCTTTTTGGTTATATGAAGAGATTGTTTTATAATTCACTATTTTTCTCTGTGAGTGAGTTATTCATATGGAGGGTTGGTTGATCCCCTGGAAAAGTAGAAAAGAATAAAACAATCAGGATTGTGTGGGTTATTTAGATTGATTTGTAATCACACTCATTATCAAAAGAAATCACACGTCACATAGTGCAAGTTAATTTACTTTTACTTACTAGATTGATGTCATCTAAATGAAGAACTCAGTGTTTAGGAACCTGTTGGTGTTTGCATTCAAGAAGTACTATTCTTTTTCATTCAATCAGCAAACTATATTTTTTTTTAATATAATGATGACACTGGAGATTTAAAGTTATAATCTGATGTCATGTAAATTATGCAAACCCCTTATCATTACACAATTTGTAATAACCTAATTGAGTGCACCTTCTTAATAACCATAACTAGTTATTTATGGAAAGATGAAGATATGACCAAAAAATTAAAGGAGTGAGTAGTAGGTAGCACCATGATAGTTAAAATCGGGATTTAAATCTTAAAATCTCGATTTTAACGATTTATTTTTGCTAAAAAGATTTAGATTTCACTTAAAATCCTTTCCAATATAAAATCCCGATTTAGACATTTACTTAAGTCCGATTTTAAGATTTAAATCCCGATTTTAACTATTGGAATGATGTTAAGCAAGTTAGAAAAATGTTGAATATAACATTGCTGATGTTTCATCTGAAGATGAATGGATTGTGAAAAATGAAAAAACTTTATCTTCTGATGAAAGTTTAGATGAAGACAATTTTGAATGATGTAGTTGAAGAAACTTTATCTCATGATGAAACTTTATCTCAAGATATTCTTAATTTTTTTTATACATAAGCATATGTATATAAAAATTAAATTTTAGAGTGCAGGTAAAATCTATAATTTTTATTACGATTTTACGATTTACAATTTTTTATTTCCTTTTCGATTTTAGGTAAAATCCCGATTTTGACTACCTTGGGTAGCACTTATGGCATCTAAAAACCTACAACAATACAGGTAATAAAAATAATTAAAATATTTCCTCCATTTGTTTTATAATTTAAGATTGTATTTTACAACAAAAAATAGGTAAATATATTTTGGTTTCATTTTTCTGCAATAAATGTAAATAAGTTATTTTCATTGAGTCTAAAATAATGTTTTTTTTTTGGGAAAATTAAGGTATTTTTATAATTATAATTTATTTCAAAATTATAATAGTATTTATCATTCTAATTTTTTAATCTTTCAATCCAAAATGACATTATTTTGAGAATAAATATAAATAACTTATCTATATTCACTGTAGAATATAGATAACTTATAAATATATTCACTGTAGAATAAGTTATAAATAATTTATCTATGTTCACTGTAGAAACACTAAAGACATTTATTATGTATATTCATCATGACTTGTGAACATTACTAATAGGTTTGTAATTTTCAATTTTTTTTCTATTATGTATATGCTATGATGGTAACATTACTAATAGCTTTGTAATTTTCAACATCACTTGTGAACATAATCCAAACAGGATATATATATATATATATATATATATATATATTATTTGTGTTTGCGTCCATTTGTTTGAATTAAATAATTATATAATTATATCTTTACCCTTATTTATTAATTTGAGATTATTTAAATAATTTTTATTTAAAAAGTAAAATTAACTTGTTATTATGTCGTATTGCATCAATGTGTAATAAATGAATTAGGTTTGTGTCAACAATTTTGATATGAATAATTATTCGTGTTGTATTCATCTATTTATTGAATTATGTCATCAATTCAAATTACTATCCTTAAATATTTATATTTTAAAAAATAAATTATGTGAGGATAAATGTACACATTTAGAATAATAAGAATGTGTTTCACAAGTGTGAAGTTCATAATGTAAGAAATAAAATACTAGAATAATATTTTTCTTACTGAACATGCGAGCAAGCATTATTAAGTTATATTTATATTTGTCGTTTATATATGATTTTAGATAGTGTTGTTAAACCTGGCTCAACCCATAAATCGGTGAATCAGTGACTTAATTGGTTTGAGTTAGCCAACGAACCGACCATGCAATTGACCCAGTAATAATCAGTCTTGACCAATTTTTAACAAAACTGGTGACCCGATATAACAAAACCCAAAGAACTTAGAGAGAAAACTTTCTCCATTTCTGAATAATGAAAATTGTACAAACTATCTGCATATTTATATAGAAAGATTATTTGAACTAAGAATAAAGAATTACTACTAACTAAATGTGTAACCTCTTGTAACTACATACAAACTAACTTCAACTAATATGGGCTTCTCAATAATTAGTTACACAAGAATTAATCTGATGTTGTACACTAATAGAGAGTTTATGCAGTCTCTTAGCACCATCCATATTTGGTTGTAATATCCCCCCTAAATTTGGCAAGTGGATGTTCACAAGACCCAACTTGCCAATTAAGAACTTGAAAGGTCCAGAGCTTAGTGGCTTGGTAAAGTTATCCGCTAGTTGAGCTGAAGATGCAATCGGTAGAAGATGAATAAGACCTTGATTAATTTTCTCGCGAAATAAATGGCAATTAATCTCAATGTGCTTTGTTCGCTCATGGAAGCTAAGATTATAAGCTAAGTATATTGTCGATCGATCATCACAATAAACTGGAACAGATTGCAATGAATCAACACCTAAATCCTTTAGCAAGCATTGCATCCTCTGCAACTCACAACCCAGTGATGCTAAATCTCTATACTCAGTTTTTGAAAATGATCGTGACACTGTAGTCTGCTTCTTTGATCTCCAACTAACCAATGAACTTCCAAGAAATACACAATACCATGCGACAGATCATACGATATCTAGGCAAGTTACCCAATTCGAATCAGCAAAACCACTAGGCTTAAGATTATTTTGTGTAGGGAAAAATAATCCTATACTATGAGATGCTTTCAAGTATCTCAATACATGAATAGTTGCTTTCATGTGCAAGTCAGTGGGGCTACTTATATATTGACTAAATTATTGTACTGTATAGCTGATATATGGTCTGGTGGTGGTTAAATATAGAAGTCTTCCTGTAACCACTTGAATCTTCACATGGTTCATCTTTGTTACACTCAAGCATGGCTCCTGGTTCCATTGGTGTGGGGCATGGTTTGGCTCCTAGAACTCCTCCATCAGCAATAAGCTCTAGAGCATACTTACATTGATTGATTACCAATCCTTTCTCAGTGCACAAGATTTTTAAACCAAGAAAATAGTGCAGAGGCCCCAAATCTTTGATTCTAAATTATGCATCAAGAAAAATTTTAACTGCTTTGACTTCTTCCATATCATCACCCGCTAATACAATGTCATCCACATATATGAGCAATGCTGTGAATGAACTCGATACTGATTTAATGAGGAGAGAATGATTTGCTTTTGATTGTCTATATCCAACTAACAACAAGGCTGATATAAGTCAAGAATACTATCATCAACTTGCTCGCTTCAGCTCATGCAATGATTTCTGCAATTTACATACCTGATTGCTTTTTGAACATTTAACACCTGGTGGTAAAACCATGTACACTTTCTCATGTAATTCACCATGAAGAAATGTGTTGTTAACCTCCAAATGCCATCCCCTCGCAATGGCAACACTGAGCAATATACAAATTGTAGTGACCTTATCCACCAGAGAGAAAGTATCAAGGAAACCCTCAAGTTGGGTGTATCCCTTAGCAACGAGATGGGCTTTGTGCCTTTCGATCAATCCATCAGCTTTGTCTTTGACTCGAAAAACCCACTTACAACCAATTGGGGTCTTTCCTGGAGGAAGATCAATAATTATCCAAGTCTTATTTTCTGCTAAAGTAGAAAGCTCAGCTTACATGGCTTCTTTCCAACAAGTGTGTTGAACTGCTTCACCATAGGTTTTTGGTTCTGGGTTTGTATGAAGGTTAAGGCATAAGCTAGTATGATTTTGTGGTCAGTATGCATATGATAAAACAGAGGATAGGGGATAAGGTGTTGAAGAGGATGAGTAATAGCAATGAAAGTCTTGTAGGTAGGTAGGGTCTTTTCTGTTTCTAGTGGAACGCCATAGAGGGATTTGGTTTGAGT